TGTTTAAAAATATTTTTAATATATATATTTATTAACAATATTTATTTATGCATTTATTGTTCTAAAGTAGTGGCATTAATCTTTTTTTCTGACCTTTTTGTTTCTTCCCAGAGTGCACAAGAATACAAACGACTAGCTGAATCTATTTATCCTCATACATATAATCCTAAAATGAGTTTGAATATAAGTGGTGTGGAAGATGACAGATTCTCACAAAGGCTTGATTCTGCTGGAAAAGAAGGGAAAGGAGACAAAGTATATTTTTTGTTCACTCTATTCTTCCATTCAGTTTGATAATATTAATCTATGTATAAATAACAATAATGGCTTTCTGATTTGCTTTCATTCATATTAGTTATAAATAGTACCAACCTTTAAAAACATTGCTTGCTATTGTATAACAGAAATAATCAGAATATCATTATTAAAATGTGTAAACTTTTTAAAGAGTTTAAAAATTTATGCTTCAGTCCAGTAATGCTTTGAATATAGAACATTTTGGTTTAAAGCTCTATTCCACGGGTGTCAAACTCACCACATCACATTGCTGTTGTGTGATGTTTTGTGACATTTTTCATGGAGTTGGGGTGGGTGTGGCCTTTAAGTGATGCATCTGGCCAGTGGATTACCAGTTTGACACCCCTGCTCTATCCAAACTAGGCTTGAGGAAATAAAATGTTTCTAAATCCTGAACCTGGTAATGATGATAATTATATGTACACACTCAGAGAGAGACATACATCCTCACTTGCTGTAGTTCTCTTAAAAAAAATCAAACCATTCTATTTTGGTCACCCAATGTAAAAAAGATGCTGAGACTCGAAAGAGTGCAGACAAGAGCAACAAAATGATTAGGGGACTGGAGACTAAAGCATAGAAAGAATGGTTGCTGGAACTGGATATGTTTAGTTTGATGAAAAGAAGGACTAGGTGTGACATGGTAGCAGTGGTTCCAATATCTCAGGGGCTGCCACAAAGAGGAGGGAGTCAAGCTATCCAAAGCACTTGAGAGCAGGACAAGAAGCAATGGGTGGAAACTAATCAAGGAGAGAAGCAACCTAGAACTAAGGAGACATTTCCTGAC